TTTTTTTTTTTTTTTTTTTTTTTTTCTTTCTGCAGGTGTAGAGGCATACTGCCAGGACATCGACTTGGATTGTCTTTATGCTCATCTCTCATTCTTTCCTTTAAACCTTTTCCCCATTTCACGTTAAATAAATTCAAACTAATTTCTAATAATGTTTATTACGTCTCAAGAAAGCTGTAATGCTCTCGACTCTCAAACAGGACCGAATGCCACACCACCGGACAGGACACACACCAAAAAAAAAAAACAAACAAACAGATAAAATAAATAAAAAAAAAACATGCTTTTAGCTGATTTTTAGTAAACTCTGCCAGTCTATTTGTACATTTATATCACTTCGATCCATTTAATAAATTTATTGATCAAGGGGAAAATCTGCCAGTTTCCATCTCTTCAGCAGTCATCTCCTAAAATTTATCTTCTAATGTGTTCATATATCTTTATTCCAATAACAAAATGGAGAATAAGACAACTCAATTATAAAGAGCAGGAATATTCACATGCCTTATGAACTCAACGTACTTAAATGGCACGAATGAATTCTTAAGTTGCTTGTTATCCCGAGGAATGGCTTTCTCTAAACCTGATCCTTCCCACAGAGCTGATCCAATTCATTTACGACCTCCTCCCACAGGAGAGGAATAAAACAAAACGATAATTTAATCTCTTCGTTTCTAAGTGCCGAGGAAGCTTACCGCGGGCATGATCTCCTTTTTTAGGACGAAGGTGATGTTGGCGCAGCTGTTGTCCTGGTAAGAGGAGCTGGGGTGGCATTTGATTCGAGGCTGAGCGAGGCCGGAGCCCCAGCACTCGCCCAGCTCCAGGCAGGGTTTCACAAAGCAGTGGGCTTCTCTGAGGGGCATGCAGCTCTGATCCGGGGGGCATCCGCCTCGGCCTTTGGCGCCGAGTTTGCACGACTTCGGGCCGCACCACATCTGCAGCGAGGGGGAAAGAAACAAAAAAAAAAGTGACATTAATTACACAATCCTAAAACATGATCCGTTTTGGGTTGGGTCACCCTTGATCACTTGTTCAGTCTGTCTTGCAGCTCCACATCATTTCACATTTTCTCCTTTTCCTAGCCCATTACGCAGTTTGTCAATGAGTCTCTTTGCCACTCTGTGGGTGTAACCCTACCAGCCATGAGGGATGAGGTCACATGCAATTCCACGCAATATCAGGGTTATTTAGGAAATGTGGGGGGTGGGGGGGGAGGGGGTTCAGCTTGTGCCAAAAAGCATGCATCATGTGGAATGAACACATTAAAAGTTGCAACAATGGTAAAATCTTACACTTCCCGATCGTTTTCTCCCCTCCGGCTGCATTACTAAAACCATTGTGCATCTAGTGATAGCCAAGCATGATAACACAACCCCGAGCTCCGTTTGGCCCAGTGTGGGAACTTCACTCGAAAATTCATCCGACACCAATTATCAATACGGCCTTTGTGTTTCTTTACAAAACAAAAAACTGTATCGTCCCAGTATAGAATTTGACGCTCCCAAACCGGCTCCACCCAGATACAAACCGTGTTGTTGTGGGTGAGTGGTGAGCCCTACCTACTGCCGAGAGCAGGACACACCCACAAACACAACCTTTGTGTCAACAACCACTTTGTGTGAGGTTCCCCAGGGAGCTTTTGTCATCAGTAAACACAGACATCGTGCACTTCACGGCTAAACGCTGCAGTATAAACTTTCACTGAACGTCAAGGAAGTGTACAATCAGGATTTGTACTTTTAATTTGAGTACAAATCCTGATTGTTGATGCTCCAAACACCAGCTTTAAAGATAAATGCATTTTATTTTAGGGACAGAAAAAATACGATAAGGCAAAAATAACCCCTTTGTTTTAGCTAAGCCCCAAAATCATAAAGACAAAAGAACCTGGCATTTCAGTGAGCCAAATGTGTGCCGATCTTCATAAAATCAAGAAATGCCTTCGAGAAAAAACTGGAGCTGCAGCAAACCAGATTGGCTGAGGATTAAATGAGGTCTCTGTAACTAACTGACATAAGCCGTCAATGTTTTGCCTAAAATGTTAATCGAATGAGAACAGTTTTCCTCAAAAATGGTGTGTTGAACTTAGTTAATCTTATTTTGTAGAATGGAGGAAAGTGCAAAAGTTCAACGTATAAATCAATAATAAAATAAACAAAAATGTAATTTTTTAGAAGGAAAAATAGAAAAATTAGTCGGAAATCAATAATTTTGCAGCATCCCTAGAAAAAAAAACCCCTCAAATCTCTGATAGACAGCTATGTAAAAACAAAAAACAACTTGCAGTCACCAAAGCAACAACTTTAGATGCCATCAACATCCTAGGTTGTTGTTTGCAGTGATGTCAGAAGAAAGAAAGCCTTTTCCGTCCTGCTACCATCTACCGGGACTGTGACTGCACCTTGTTCAGATGAGACAAAGGCACAACTACTCAGCAAAGAAATTCTCCAGGTGGGTTTGTGATAAAACAATGGATGAATGTGTCAAAAAATACCTCATGCTCACTGTTAAGTACGGTGGGTTATCTGTGATGCTGTGGGCTAGCTTCGATTGGCCTCGGAGGGCTCGCAGAAATAGCAGGACATTTTAAATTACAATTTGGACAATTTTTGCCAAAAAGAACAAAACTCTGTCTTAATATTAACTCTCTACATTAATACTAGTATCAACAAATATGGAACAAGTAATTTTAGCACATTTTCCGATTAATGTGTCCACCACTCTGTGCACTGACATACCTTTGTGCACAGCACTTTTCCATTGGAGCAGTGACAAATGTTGCAGTCTTCTTCCCAGCTGGCTCCATCCGGGGCAACATGCCCGTTACTAGAGCAATGCTTTCTTGTTTCTACGTTTTAGGAAAAAAAACAAACAAACAAAAAACATATTGTTAGAGACTTGCAAAATAATCTGCTTAATTTCCCCCATCCTGCGAGGACGTACTGTCTTGACAGTGGAGTCCAGTTCTGTCTGGGGGGCACAGGCAGCGATATCCGTTGATCTCGTCCACGCAGGTGGATCCCAAGGCGCAGGGAGAGGACTGGCACTCGTTAATATCTGTTACGGCGAAGCAGGGTGAGAGAGGGGAAATCGTTTGCTTATGGAATAAAATGCATCAGGCCTGCAGAGTTCAGATATCGAGTTAAGTTAAATCAGTGCTCAAATCTAATTCTTTGGGATCATGCGTCATCGAAACTCCTTTATGCACGTTTATTTAACAACAACAAAAAAAAAGAGAAAACTAAACCAGCAAACAGGCCTACAATGAGCCTTGGACCCCCCCCCCCCGGAGCTTTTATAGAAAGTCGTCATTAGCAGGTATGCAGGAGCTAAAGGTTGGACTAAGCAGAACAAAGGGTTTGCAATGGGAAAGAATGTGGCCATCTGAAAGCCTTTAAGAGGGAAAACAGTCTGAGTAATCAGTGTCAGAGAGCATGGCTGATTAGCTGCTGGCTCGCTAAGCTGCTTTACCCCTGGGGACACCAACACGGCCCGGTGGAGTGACACCAAAATGGCTCAGGCTGGCCTGCAGCCCGGCGTTCAGATAATTGGCCGACTAGACCTTCCGTTTGCAAGTGACTGATTGTCCGGCTGCAAGGCATGATCCGACTGACTGACGGGCCCAAAAGTAAAGATGCACCGATCAGAATTTTGTGGCAGATGTCTGAGTTTTTAGAGGATTCAGAGTTCTCCTTGAAAATTATATCAGTAAATATTATTCCAGCCTTCTTACCCTAAACGGTCATTAATTTTTAAATTAGGAGCAGAGGCAACATCTTGCAACTTGTATAGCAGTACGTTAAAATCTTATTTTAACAACAAAATGGTTACACACTGATATTTTAAACAGTCTTTAATCATTAACAGCTAGCATGGCATAAAATAGAAGACGATGAAGTTTCCCAGGATAATGTAAACCTTAAATTTACATGACAGAAGCTGAAAGCTTAAAAAGATAAAACAGAGCAACCTTGCTCTACCCCCATTATGCCTTCATGTTATCTGTGTTGCTGTGCACCGACTGTCAGCTGGCTGAAAGAATGCAAATTCCAGCCCCGAGCGGACTTACTGCTGCAGACATCTACTGAAAAACAGGCATGAACTGAAGGCAGGTTTAATACTCACTGATCCGACAGTCTGGACCGGCGAAACCTGGGGCGCATTCACAGCGGTACCAGTTATCCCCGTCCACACAGGTCCCACTGTTGTAACTGAAGGTTTAAAACAAACCATGTCAGGTTGGATTTTTTATTTTTTTATTTTCTAAACAAACAAAATCAGATTCTCAATAATGCAAGATATATGAATCAGTTTTTTTTATAACTATATAGATAATGGGAAAAGTGTGCTTAAAAATCTGAAAGCGTTTTGTTAAGCAAGAGTCACATGTGAAAGAATTTGCAAAACAGGGTTAGGCGATTGCATCCCAGGAATGAAGGGAGGTGTTCGTCCCAATTCTCAGCAGGAAGAAAGCATGCAGGTGAGGTGAGCCACACAGGAGGAGCAGCTTGTTTACACCAGTTGAAATCTACAGGAAATGTTTGGCTTCCACTTACCATGGGTGGGGACTGCAGTCGTTGGTATCTGTGCAAGAAAGAAAAAGGGAGGGAGGGAAAAAAGAGAGAACTTGTGAGTGCGGTGTTATTTTCTCTCTCTCCGCCCTCATGTGGAGGTGCTCAGCGCACATTGGCAGCAGAAAAGCACGTCTGAGCTTGCGTTCGCAGAGGCATAATGTGTCCACACTGCCTGATCGCTCTGTATTACTATTACTACCAGAGCACTAAAAAAAAAAAAAAAAAAAAAAAAAAAAACCCCCTACCCCCCCCCCCCCTTTTTTCCCTTTTTCCCCCCCCC